ATAATATTAAATAAATAAATTTATATTATCGATATTCTATACTTAATATATTTCCTAAAGAATTACATTAATAAGAATATAATATCTAAATTCAAGTTACGATTATTATAATAAGGATTGCGTACAATTACCTCTTGCGGGGGTACGTCGTATGTCCGCGTTCGCAAATCAACGCGGGCGTAATTGTCCACGCAGGGCAGGATGAAAAAGATTCCTATAAGTAAATACGTTTAGTTACTTTGATGTTTAATCAATAATAAATTGTACGTAACATATTGAAGCGCTCATATGCGTTGCATAACATATTTAAAATAAAATGGGCTGTAAAAAATATCGTAAACACGACTCAAATTATCTAGTTCTATCATTTTCAATTTTAGTTACATAGCAAGTACCAAAAATTTCAAATTTTTTCTCATAATATAACAGCGTACATAGTTGAAAAATTTGTTGAATATAACACGTTTTACATATCTCAAACGGTCCACTCAAATTTTTTTTTTGTAATATTTAACATAAAATGAATATGTTGGAAAACACAAATATTGTATAAATAAAATTATCACAAAAAAGATAATGCTAATAGTTTGTATACAAATATTTCTTCAAGTATATTTCTTTAGTATAATTAACATTTATGATATGTTAAATTAACACATCTTTTGGTAATTGTGCAGAACATGGCCTTTTCCTAATTTCAATATTTTTAGCTGCAACGTTGATAATAATCTTTGTTATAATTCAAATAGTGCTAAAATGAGGAGAGGTCGAAAAATATATACACATATACGAGTACTCCTATTTATATACTGAGTAATAATGTTAACATTCTAAAGTCGTGCCCTCAGTAGCAAGAGGGAGGTGGGGTGAGAGTCGTGGAATGTCATGCGCTTCTATGCGCTACTATATGTAACGTTCTTAAAGAAAATTTTTGTTTCTTATTGTTTGACCTTCCCTGATTTATTATCACTATTTGAGTCATAACAAAGACTATTATCAACAGTCGAAATACGTCGAAATTCATATAAAAGGCCATATTCTGCATAATTACGCATATTTCATACTTATCTTAGAATTTGTTTTAAAAAAAAAGTATAATAGTTTTATATTATTTGTTCATTTACTCATAAAGTGTCATTTTGATACTAATGTAAGAAATATATTAATTTAACATAATATCTTTGAACGACATAACCACATTATGTAAAATTAACACAACTCGAATATGTTAAAAAATTCAACACAAACTATTAATAAATATGTGACTGGTCCAATACGAATACACAATATTTTTTGTTACGTAACAAAATCAATAAAAAAAAACCGATACACAACTTGTTAGCAAACTGAAAGCATAATTTTAAATAAAATTAACATTTATGATAGTTTACATTTATTAACACGTATTTTATTCATTTTCAAAAAGTTATTATTTAAAATATATTTATTTCTGAAATATTAATTCAATTTAATTGAATGTATATTAGATAGTAGTTCAACATCTTAACACTCGACCGAAAAGGCGCTTTGTATTTAAAGTCTTAATATTTATATAGACAGTCTTGTTTCCAATCATATTGTTTAGAATACGCTCGCCTATACATGCGTAACTCACTATATATATCGGTTATTGCGAAGAGTGTTGCTAAGGTCTCGGTAGTCTAAAGGCTCAGGACGCTCACACGGAATGTAAGAGATCCGGGTTCGACTCCCGGCCGAGGCAATATTTTTCGCAATAAGTTTATTACAGTTTTTTAAGATTTGGGAGAATTTGGGGGGATTAGTTGTTTCAGATTGAGGATACCGACAAGTTAGAACAATTTTCCAATTTTTTCGTGACTTTTGCAGTAAATTCTTTTTTTTCTTTGTCCCATTGATTGACAGAAAATTTTCGTTGACACTGCACATCTTTACGATACTCATTACTGCAATGAGCTTCATGGGAGTCTTTCGATCAATTTATCATAAAAAACAATTTAACGTGTGCAAAGAAAACGTTACATTGCAACTAATGAGCGTCTGAAACAGCTTATAATAAACTGTTTATAATAAAAAATGTATTATATGATTGTATCCATAGACAAAATATATGATTATGTCATATGTGTATATGATTATACCATAAACTTATAACGAGTGTGTATGATTACATCATAAACTCATAACGACTGCTATTGATAGAACAAGAAACTTATAAGCCATAAATAAGTTCTTCTGTAACAAACAAGTGATTTTAGAAGGGCAGTCGTGTTTCTAAATACCTGCGCGCTACAACGCAGAAGGCTACAGACGCCTATGTACCGCGCGTCTAATGCTATAACTTTTAAACTATTTTGAATTTTAAAAAACGGTTTTAAGATAACATTCTTAAGACATAAAGTATTTAAAGTATGCAAAAAAAATTTTTTTGATTTTTTTTAAACCGAAAGAGTCTTATGCCGCCTTAAGGTTCTGTTCGCTAATAGTCATCTAAATCTGGAGATACTGGTAGTATCTCAGCGCTAACATACGCGCAGCGTTTTACCTTTTTTAAAAAAGGTAAAAAAAACGTTAAGAGTGCGTGTTTTTCGTAAATCATTTGGGCTGATTTCACCAACGCTAATTATTTAATTGGCCGTGGAACTGACTAATCGTGTTTACTGTTTAATAGAATCAGTAGAAAAAGGTAAAAAAGGCCCTAAGAAAATGTGCTTCTCGAAAACTCAAGTATCCAACTCGATTAATAGTAGTTTTAATTTTTCTTTAAAGATATTCTTATTAAAGATTTTTTAAAATTTTTATTACAACCCAAGTAATAACAACTTTAATTTTCCGTCAAAAATTACTACTTCTTGAAAAAATTAATGTATCAAATAAAAAATTAAAACTCAGATACTACAAGCTTAACTAATCAAGTTAAATTCTACCAAATTAAAAAGTAAAACGCAAGTGGTACTACCTTTTTACTTAACTCTAATGATATGTATCATTTGTATAAAAGATTTGATATCAACAAAACTGTCAAGTTAAATTCCACATAATTTTATATATTATTCGTAAAAAAGATTTGATATTAACAATTGGCACGAAGTTAAATTCCATGTAATTCGGATACCAAATTAAATAAATAATATCAACTTTAATGATATGTATTATTCATATAAAAGATTTTATAACTAGCGCCAATTTAAATCCCATATCAAATTAAGTAAAGAATACAATTCATAATTACGTTACCTTGTCCATTTAAGTGTTACCTCAAAAAGTTAAAGAAGTAGACACTTGGAGCTACTAGATCATGGTATAACATAGTGCTAAAAACATGAATATAAATAAGAAAAATGAAAAACATTTCCATGAAAGCAAAAGTATTTAGCATAGGAATATTTTTAATTAGGTTAAAGTTTAGTCGTATAAGTTACGAAAGTTGTGCAAGCTATTAGGTTTAAGATAAATTAATTTAGATTTATAAGACTTGTATTATGAAAAAGAAAAAAGAAATAAACAAGTAAACTCTATTTTTATTTAGTGTAAAAAAAAACATTCAGAGATTAAATTCATTAATTACATTAAAATTGTAATTATCTTTTATCATTTATTTTTTTAACTGCTATTATAAGCCTTAAAGTGACCTTCAAACAATTATTCAAGGTCAAACTAATGACACCATCTTATGTCCCCCTGAAAGTCACACAACTTTTTCTGAAATATTTTTTTCTAAGATTAAAAATAAAAAAGTTATTTGGGGTGGGACATTAAAATGGGACACCTTGTATAAAGTATATGGTATACATATATATTTTTTTTGTTGAGACAACCATTAAGTAGTGTCAACCTTGTAGAAGTCTTTCGGCAACCTTCGAGGCGCAAGGTTTGTAGCAAATTTTTAATATCTAAGAGTTATTTATTTGGTTTATTAGATATATGCATTTTATTTAAAGATGGATCGAAAAGGCAAGAAATAATCTATTCCGAGACCAATTAAAGACAATAAAAAATCGAAACGTCTTCTGAATCGCTTTGAAATAGAGAAAAATGTAGACAACGCAAGCACGTCAGCTAAAAAGTTGAAAACCGTTGATATTGATATCGACCCAACAATATTGTATTGTATTGTAGAATACAATAATTTATATTGCATTGTAGAATACAATAATTTTAAATCCTAAAAAATTTTTTTTCGGTTTTTCCCGTTATGACAGAATTTCTTTGTTGTAAAACGTATAAAAGAGATAGACATAGAATTTCAAGAAACGAGTATACGTGGCTTCGGGTTCAAGTTAATTATAAAATATAAGCAGTGTAATCCAATGTAAAAAATATATTGATTCGTGTTCTTTGATTTCTAATACATACGAAATAAAACAAAAGATTTATATTTACAATGAGATTATTGGGAATCGGTTTAAATGAAGCAAAAAAGTTTTGTGGATTAATGGATGCCTGGACCTATCTTTCAGTCTTTCTATGACTCTATCGTGAAACAAATCCACATTGCTGCAAAATTGATTTGTAATATTTCATCAAAAGCTAGTGCACAAGATAAAAAAACTTTTAGAAGCATTCAATGTTCAAAAGGCTACAGAAAACTTTAGAAGCATTAAATGTTCAAGAGGCTACAGAACTTAGAGTATTTAGAGACGTAAATTGGAAAAAAGGGGTTTTCTTCATTGGTACAGCGTGTTCATCTTTTATCGATTATTATACAAATAGAGTACTCGATATAATTTTGTAAAATCTTCCTATTGTAAAGCCTGCGCTTTTTGGGAAAAATAAAGTGACACTACAGAATACGAAGATTAGATACAATCTTATAAAGATATATGCATGGCAAATCATGAATGCTCCTCTGGAAAAATGGAGGTCGATGGGATTCGCGAAATGCTCTTAAGATCCGAAGATCTTTACGGTGTTCGATATAAATTTTACAGTGATAGCAAAATTTACAAAACAATTGTCGATTCGATGTCGTACCCTGTAATAATGTAATAAAGTAATGTAATAAAGTAATGTAATAAAAAAAAATGCATTAACCACGTACAAAAAAGAATGGGCGCAAGGCTACGTGAATACAAAAAAAAAATTAAGGACTAGGAGGCAAAGGAAAACTTACGACAAAATTAATTAATAATTTAAGTATTTTTTATGGGCTAGCCATTCGCAGACATCAGAATTCTATGGATAAAATGTATAACACAACTATTCTGTATCACAAGAATTCATACGACAACAATT